GAATGCAATGCTTCACATACTCATGCCTGTGATGAATGTCAAGAAATATTCCAGTTTTTTGATGATTTAAAAGGCAATCTGAGCAATCAATATGATGGGGAAATTCAAGAATACAAAATTGTTTGCTCTATTATCTTTCACACCAGACTAGAAAAGTTTATTTAAATGCACAATTTAATGCTGCTCTTTTAGATCTAGATGAAAATGGTGCAGTATTAGTTGTTGATTTTAAAATGAAAATACTACCCAAAACTGCATGTGAGACAAAAAAAGATTTTTTTGGGAAAAGGGCTGGACATTTACATACCATCTTGTTATATAATGGGTCTGAGACTAATGTACAAGCTATAGATCATTGGTCTACAGATCCTTGTCAAGATGCATGGTTTACTGCATCTTCATTGCATTCTGTGGTTGAAAATTTAAAAATAAAACCAAAATGGGTGAGTATACTTTCTGATAATGGTCCTCATTATCACAATTCAGAACTCATGATTATTATGAGCAAATGGTACGAGTGGTATGGGATTCAGGTAAAAAAATGGATATTTCTGGAGGCAGGTGAAGCTAAAACTGCTGTGGACTCACATCATGCTCAGGTCTGTGAAATAATTTCAATCATTCATTTAAATCACTCAAATCATTCATTATTCATTTATTTGTTTATTTTAATTATTTGTTTATTCAAATTATTCATTTTAAATAATTATTCAATTTATTTGTTTCATTCAATTTATTTGTTTCATTTCATTTGAATCATTAGTTTTATTTAAATCATTTGTTTCATTTGAATCATTTATTTGTTTCATTTGAATCATTGGTATTTGTTTTATTTTATTCATTTATTTTTTATTTGGAATTGCTTATTTTATTCAAATTATTTGCTTATTTGAATTATTTGTTATAAAACATAGACTCAAATAATGAAATGGATTCTCAAAACCTACTAACAATAATAATAAAAAATTATAGATCTCACTTTCAATTAATATATATGTTAAGATAGGTGGAGAAATCCAAGAAGGTAATGATATTACTTCAGCTATTGGAGGTATTTCTGGCACTTCAGTTTCCCATATAGAGCCAAATCATGTTAAAGGTAAATTCTAAAATTATAAAAAAAAAATAATTGTTGTATATATGTGAATTAGAATATTTTCTGGATAAATCTTTTATAGAGAATAAATACTCATGAAAGGTTTTCATACCAATAAAAAGGAAAAGAAAAATATATGACTATACCTGGTATATCCAATTGGTTTGAATGGAGTTGGCACACTGAAGGTGATAATGCAGGATATATTCAGGCATGTGCAATACCAAATATTGGAATGTGGTCATCATTTTCTCCAGTTCAAATACAAAATTTTCTAAAAAATGAAATTAATCAACCATCTCCACAACTTTCTGAGCCAACTAAACCAAAATCTCCATGGAAAATACCTATTCCACATTCATCAGGTAATTTACATAATTACTTGATTATCCAAATTGCCAACTATACAAGGATGGATAACCCGATATACAGCACAGTTACGTGAGAGAAGTGCTCAAACAACACTTGGAGTTGAAAATATTTAATAATTGATATTATATTCTTTAAATAAAATTATATATTTTTTCTACACCTTTTATTATTATTATTTTTTAATAATTAACAGTAAAAAAATAATTTACCTGTTTGTATTTGGCAGTAAAACATTTTTAGTGTAATTTATTTTGTATATATTTATATAATAATTTTTGGAGAGAATCCAGCGTTGCAGTCATATAAAGGTAAAAATAATTTATAAGAAATACTTTTTAAAAATTGGTTTATTGAAACTTTGAGATTTACTTCATGTATTACAAGTGTAATTTTGGTTTCTATATTTGTATAAAGGAAGTTACTTAAAGACGAAAGTAATGCACCAGAAAAATTTTATTAGTGATCTACAAAAATTTGCCCCGGGATTACGAATTAATTAATTAATATTAATGTGATTGTGAAGAATAGTTAATTCATTATAATGTTCTACCTTTCTCTCGTGCTTCCCAAAAATTCGGTTTAATAAAGTCAAGGAATCAACACTAACGTTACATTTTTTCTTATTAAATTAAATATTCTGTGTGGCCTCCTTCTGCATCGATAAATGCTTTAATCCGGTCACGCATGCTATTGATGCATCGAAGTAACACATCATTATCAAGATCGTTCCATTCCTGTCAAGAAAATTCTCTTGCGAGATTTTTTTCTTTTTTGCCACCATATCCTCAACCTTTCTCTCTACCTTTTTCTTCAAAACAGCTCATACATTTTCGATAGGATTCATGTCTGGGCTGTTTGGGGATCAAGGGAGAACTCGTTTCGGTAGACGGTCTTTCAAGTCACTTCAAACATCACGCGAAGTATGTTTCGGATCATTATCTTGTTGGAAGACCCAGTTATGATCATATAAATTTTCATTTAGAATTTTTCGATATAAATGGCGATCCAGGTTTTCAGTAAATAAATGCATTCCCAATTTTTCCCTTGGCGCTGATCGCTGCCCAAACATGAACTTTATATGGATGCTTTACCATAGGTGCAACAGGTTTTGCATTTCGAGACCATGAACGAAGGGTATTGAGAAACATCTGGATCGTTGTTTCATCAGAAAAAACAACTTTACGCCAGTTGCATCGTGCATGTTTACGTGCCCAAGTCAAGCGATTATCTTTTACTTGTTCGGTTAAAAGAAGAACCTTTCTTGAAAGAACAGAAATGGGACCGAGGTTTTTAAGCTCACAACGTATAGTGCGTTCACTGATCTCAAGTTCGGGATCATTTTCTTCCGATTTAGCTTTAAGTTCGCTCGCCGTAGTGAAATGATTGTGTTTCAGAATTTTTCCGATATGGCGGCGTTCTTCAGTGGCCAATTTTCTTGGACGACCAGAAGAGTGACCTACAGGAATTTTGCCGGTTTTGCTCAATAAACTGATGTACTGCGTAGAGGAATCCCCAATCATTGAGAAATTGCAAATGGTTTGTTGCCAGAATGACTTAACAGAGTTTCGTTGTACTTCAAGAGGGGTTGTGCCATTTTGAAATGTAAAAATATGATGTAAACAATATTAAACATCATTGTTTACATTTTTTAAAAAATAGCATTTCATTGCTTGATTTGGTAATATAAATTATGATCCAAATCGGAAAAATGGTGAAGCTACAGCAAAAAAGAAGGCAGCATCCCCACTGCCATTCTTTTCGCCGGGGATTGTAGTTGACAAGTTATAGTTATGCATGCAAACCATGCCACAATTTTTTGTTGTAAAAAAAGAATTTATTACTATAAAAAGATACAATTAGTATTGGTGTACCATACGACGAAGTCGCTAGAAACCAAAATCACTAGTTAAATTTGTAAATGGAATCATCAAAAGAAAACAAGATATTTCTACAGTGTGTAATGAAAAAAATAGCAGTGACGAAAAATTGCAAATCTTAAAATTGCGAAAGCGAACGATTTGAATTACCATTGTAAAGCCAATTCAAATCTTTTTTTTAGACTTCACTAAATTATTTGAATTCTACCCAAAGTATTTAATTCAAAACTGTGCATAAGTAATAACAAAAAATTATGGCAGTTTGTGGCTAAAATGAAAAAAAAAGTTACAATGTGATTATTATTACTTTTTTTAATGCCATTTGTTTCGTTACACAGCATTTACAAAAATGGAATGGATGGATATAAAACTTTATTTGAATTATTGTACCCAAAAAATATACGGAAAAATAAATAAAAAAGTCAATTATTATTATTATTATTATTATATAAATTTATAATTTTATTAACAAATTTACCAAAAAACCCATTAAAATGAATCTTACTATCCATAATATAATGGTAAAATATACTACTGCACTAGCTGAACAGTAATACAAGAGAAATAACTAATACTATTAAAAAATATGAAAAAAATTATATTGTGATAAAAATGCTGTATGAATTGATCAATACACTTGCCAGTGAAAATCAATGTAAATTTATTTTTTTTTAGACGAAAAACATTTGATTTTTAATAGAATCTTTAATTTGCAAGAATTTAGGGAAATCATCAGATGTAACATTACTACCTCCTCTGCCACCTCTACCACCTCTTCCACCTCTACCACCTCTGCCACCTCTTCCACCTCTACCACCTCTGCCACCTCTGCCACCTCTACCACCTCCTGGGGGAGCAGCGTTTTCACCAACTGCATCAAGTTCTTCGTCACCAGTTAAAACAAAGTACCTTGCTTGATTTACAATATTATGTGCATAGTGAACAGGTGTTACATGCGATATAGCAAGATTACATCTAAATAAATTAATAAATTAATTGTAGATATCGAAAAATAGCGTAATATATGTTATGCAATTAAATAATTACCTGACAGATAAATGGCATAGTTTATATGTTAATCTTTCCATTTCATCGATTGAATACTCAGCCTCGTTTAGTATAACATGATAGAATGTTGGTCGGGCTGTACCAAGAGGACTTGCATGTGATTGCAGGACTAATCAAATAATAAAAATTGTATTTAATCTTTAGAAAAAAAAAAAAAAAAAACAAAAATATGATAATTTTTAGAGGGAAAAAAATTTTACTTACAGAATTCAAAATTACGTTCTACAACAACCTCTGTGTCAACAACAGTACCGGGTTTGCAATTACCATTTAGATGTCTATCTTGAGTGTTGACTGGCATAAATCTAAAAATATGTAAATTAATTAATCGATATATTTAAAAATATATAAAAGAATTATATACAAACGTGTGTATACTATAAATAACAATTTTATCTATTTACCTTGCGTGATGCCTTTTTTGAACAACAACAAATGTTAATTTTGGTCCTTTTCCAGCAGGATAAATTCTATTAAAAGCTTTTTTCATTGAGCAAACTTCTTCATTCAAAAGTTTTTGGAAATGACTTTCTGAAACACCATCTCTATAAAAGACAATTTGTTGAGGTAATATTTTGTTTCTGTTATGAAATTCTCTTATTAATTCATAAGTCATATTTTCCATGTCTTCTATAGTTTCATTACGATGTGTTTTGTTCATTGAACAGCGTGTGACATATCTAGTTGCACCTTTATCCATTGATGCACACACGGCTGCGATACTTGGTGATTTCTTCTCCTCTTCTGTCATTTTATTTCTTTCAGGAATAGATTCTAATGGTTCTCCAGACTCGGATTTCTTTTTCTTATCTGATTTGACGGTTCTTCCTGAATGGTACACATCAGCTCCAAATACCATATACTATGTATGTATGAATGTATAAATATGGTGAATATTAATATAAAGTATAGTATATTATTTATATTTATATTTTTAACTTTTGAATTCAATTCATTAAAAAAAAATAATAATATACTTACAGGTTCGATTCCTTTGAAATTTAATTCATTTTTAGCCAATTCAGAATTCTTTCCACCCAATTTTCCATTAATTTTCAAAGCAATATTTTCAAAAACGCTTCTTAATCTTCTTTCACTTTTCACTGTAGACTTTAGAATGCATTGACTAATTACTCCCAATTTGGTGACACAGACTCTCTTGACAGCTGCATGCATTCCTGAATTACCCTTTACTTTTCTGGGGATAATACATACGATAAGTTGAGGAGCTGGATGTTTTTGTTTGTCAATTATAGCCTTGTTGCATGCAAGTGTTAAGTCCTATATCATTTTTTGATAAACAATTGAATAAATTTATTTTTCAATTGTTGATTGATTTGATTATTAATATATATATATATTACCATCTCGAAATTTCCTTGTGTGCTGGCATAAAGGATTTCGGGTTCAGTAGGAACATTCTATATTTATTTTTTATGTAAGTGTGCATGAAAAAATATAAATATTTATAAAGGAAAAAAAAATTTTTTTTAAAAAAAACAATAATCATTATAATCACCAATCCTTTAGAAATTAAAGCATTTTTCAATTCTCTCATTGCTCGTTGAACAGCTTGGAGTGGTAAGGAAGCTTGATTATCGAATACTACTACTGCCCAATTAAAAAGGCTTCTAGCCTAAATACAATTAATTATTTAAAAGATAAATGTGTTGGAGGTGAGATGAGCATCGTCAATGTTATTATCATTAAGACAATTATATATATATAAAATAAATTATTTTTAAATTTTGAAAAATTTACTTACATCTGAAAATTTATTAAGGTCCCAACGAGCATCTTTAACTTGTATATTTTTACCACTAGAGTATAACACAGGTTCAGGAAGTACACGAGCTACGTATACAAACATGCATAAGAATAATCAATAGGGATATTCGTTGAATCATAGATCAATATTATAAATATTTTAACCCAACGGCTGGTTTGTCTCGACGCTTTGAAGTGGAGCGCCTGGACAGGTTGTGCGCGTCACCTTTATTACCTTTTACTTTAACAAAATCGGTACTAGGTATCAAGTTAATTGATTTCAAATCTTTATTTGCTTGATATCGAATGAATTTTTCAACTCCATCTTTAATGTTTTTAAATCTTTGATCTGGAGGGACAGCGGTTTTCTTGATGAATTCAGCAAGCATGTTTGTAACGAT